TATTACCTCGTCTGCTTCCGGGTCAGTTGGATGATTTGCAGCTTCTATTATGAATTTTGCCTTCACATCAGCTGCATTTTCCCTTAAATATAAAAAATGAATAAATTATCATCAAACAATAAGAAAATAAAAGGAAAATAGCAGTGAGGGGAAAAAATATAAAACAATTTTGACACGAAATTCTGCTTCTGACAGAGCCTGTTTATGACGTTAAGGAAGCAGAGTACATACTTGTTGATGACTCCCCTTAAGGCACATGGAACGAGAACATCACATTCATGAATAAGCAAGTCATTTGGGTCCATTGCATCTCCACCTTGGAATTCCTTCAAACTTCTATGGTTTCCTTGTGCTTCAGAAGAGCTGGGATGTCGATTCCAGCAGGATTTCTAATTGCACCTGTGATGTCACTAACAGCAATGACATGACCCTCTCTATCATGGATCAACTTGGCTGCCCATGAGCCCACATTTCCGAAACCCTAAAATGTATCAACAAAGTTAGAAAAACACATATTCATGTCATCACGCATATGGCCTTGGAAAAATAAATTTTTATCATGATTTAGGACCTGTATAACAAACTTCATACCAGAAATTGACTTTCCGTATTCACCAAGTAAAGACTCGGTTGCAAAAACCACCCGAGTCCAGTCACAGACTCCCTTCCAAGCGAACCCTCAAGATCCTTAAATGGAAACACGACGAGTAAGAAATAAAATTCTAGTTTCTTTTAGAATTATGGATCATTTGATTCCATTTAGTGGACATAATCATAAACCGTCTGTGGGTGTGCGGTACTTACAACAGGTTTTCCTGTCACAACTGCAGGTGAATGCCCATGAAACTTTGAGTACTCATCAAAAATCCAAGCCATTGTCTGCACAATTTGAAGAATTAAGCAAGTCTAGTTTATAAACTTTATACCAAAGATAACAATGTATTTATCATTTTTGACCAACAAAGACCGTACTCTTAATTTAGTTTGACGGGAAACAGGATACCTGGGAATTAGTTCCCATGTCAGGGGCAGGAACATCCCTGTGAATTCCAATGAGATCATGGATCCTCTGAGTGAAAACACGAGTTAAACATTCTAACTCACTGATACTCGGGTCCCTTGGGTTGCAGCCAATCCCACCCTTAGCTCCACCATAAGGAATGTTCACTACGGCTGTCTTCCACATCATCAACTGAGCTATAGCATTCACTTCATCTGGATCAACCTTGCACCATTGAATATTTGATACTTCAGTACCAATGGATATTAAGAAAGCTTCAATGCAGAAATTACTAGAATCTGTATACGCAGAATTAACTTCACAGAAGCATCAATGGTAAATAATTATGCAACACGTGCTATAGCCAGTTGAATATTTTTCTGAAAATAAAACTGTTACGGTGACCTGTATGTGTGGGTTTGAAGACATGTAGAGAAAACTATTAACCAGAATTGTATGTTTCAAGTTCTTATTGCAGTTACTGCTAACAGCAGCACCTTCTTTGTTTGGTGCCCAAGTAAAATTTTTTATTTTTTATTTTTGTTCAAAGTAGAATTTTATTAACGCTGATAAAAGTAGCACTTGTTAAGGACATCTTTTTGCAATCTAATTACTCTGTCAATTAGCTGACAATAATTGAACATACCAAGTACTAGAACTACAAACAAAATGAGTTGCTATAAAAATTGGAACTCACCATGGGCACAGACTAGGTAATATATCCAGCACTCGCTATCTCACTCAGGTTTCCCCTTCCAAATGTTGCATACTCCTAGAGGTTCTATATATTTATGGTGTGCCCAACTCAAAAGGGAAACGGATGATCTACGGTTACACAATAATAAATCAACAAGACGATAACCAAAGACGTCTGCAATGGTCTCACAATCATCCACAAATCACCATTGATGTTTGGGCTTCACATTATACATCCAATCAATGCCGTTACATAAGGCGTTTATAATCAATCAATCATTATACATAAAACCAATTCTACGTAACACAATTGTCATTCATCAAGCAACTTAAAGGCATTTTCCGGAATTTGGAGAAAATACTTTTCGCTCTATAGAAAAAACATCAATTTTGGCAAAAACCAATCAAACACACAAGTAATATTGCCCATGTCCCCTTCACAGGTTTTCTAGTTAATGAAGGGAGAATGCAACCTCATTTCTAAGAAACCGCTCTTTATTATATCAAACATCTTGAAGCACACGGATATACTCATAAAAAAAATAAAAATAAATAAATAATAAAAAACGGAAACACGGGTTTGGCAGACGAAATGTGAGGCAAACATCGACAGTGGAACCGAGAATCCAATTTAAAATTTCCCCAGTGATTGGGAGCATGTATCCATCAAGGTTAAGCTAATTATAAATATAACCAAAAGATAAAAAAACGAGATGAATGAATGTGATATGCAATAAAGACCATAAATTGGAATCATAATATCAACAGGTTAAGGAGGTGTATTCAACTGGAACTTGAGAGATTTTAATAGATTTATAAATCCATGGATTTTTATGAAGTTTAACTGACTTGTAGAGATTCTATGTAAAATTTTGATTCAATTCCCTCGAAATCTTATGAAAAGAGGTGAGATTTGTGGATGCTTAAAATACACTGCAAAATCTCTTCAATTCCCTCTCATTGCTCAACTTTTTCAAATTCTCTAAATTCTAATTCTAATTGAATACACCTAGAATGTTATAAACTTCTTTAAAATTCTAATTGAATACACCTGGATTTCTAAGGATTTTAATAAACTATCTTAAAATCTTGATTGAATACACATTGAATTTCAGATAATTACTTAAAATCCTGATTGAATACCCCTAGATTCATTAAAAGAATTAAAATCCCTCAAAATCCCAATTGAATACACCCCCCTTAATCTGTTGATATTATGATTCCAATTTATGGTCTTTACAGGGCCTGCCCTAAGATTTCAGGGCCCTGTGCGAAAGTGAATTGGAGGTCCTAAAAAGCACTAAGAATTGTATTTTTTTTTATTTTTTTGTTCAAAAAAATAATTTTAGTTTTTTTCCTTAACTATTTAGAGGGTCAAGGTTCGAATTTTCATGTTATTGTGTGAAATTTTTATATTATTTTATGGAAGCTTATGCATTTAATAAAAATAAACTGAAAAGATGATGGAGACGAGTTTCGAACCCATTTCCTAGGCCGCTATAAATAAGCAATAATACCACTTGCGCTCAGACTCAAGTTTGTAATATTCTACACATACTACTATATATACGTAAATGCATGCAAATTTGAAAAATCGGAAGCCCTTCTGATTTGGGAGCCCTATGCGGTGGTACCTATTGCACCCCCTCAGGGCCGGCATTGGGTCTTTATTGCATATCACATTCATTCATCTCGTTTTTTTTATCTTTTGGTTATATTTATAATTAGCTTAACCTTGATGAATACATGCTCTCAATCATTGGGGAAAATTTGAATTGGATTCAATTTAAAATAATTAACTTTTTAGCACATATATCCCACTATTTGTATAATGACATGTGATATACCATCTCGTGTACCGGTCACATTGAAAAATCTCTCCAACAATGGGTAGTGAGTAACCCTTAACTTTAATTACTCAAGATCAAGAAAAGATGAGGTGGTCTTGTTTTAATTGAGGTAGATAGGAGACAAACCATAGGCTTATTGAGCATCTCAAATGAAGAGATACAAATTTAATATGTAAAACTCATATTTACATCTCGGGAATATATAAATATAAGCTATACTTCAATAAGAGAGATGAAAATTTAGAATCTCATTTATTTTTGGGAACTTTAACGAAAAACTTTCGGTACTGTTCACTTTTAATGAAAAACCACATTTTCATATTAAAAAGTCAATTCTGGTACAATTCACTTTACCCTTTATTTTGTCCTTATCGTTAAAACTCAAAATTTTTAAACCGTTTTTATTAGTTTTCCTTTTATTTTTTTTCTTTTTGACTAACGGAGCCCGCCTTCTAAAGATGTAAAAAGAGTGTAAATATACATTTTTGTTTCATCTTTTGGAGAAGATGGATAATTTAATTCCACCATTAGAGAGCTTTCCAAAATCAATATAAATGCTCATTTCAAGACATTTTGCTTGATGCTCTACTTAACTTAAAAGAAAAGATACATGTCTACTTACATTAATAAGTCATTAATTCTCATTTGCCAATCTTAGCTTGACATGACGAAGGTTTTGCATAAAAGTGTGTCATGAAACAAAAATATTACTCTTATTATCTAGATATATCGTCATTTGTACTATATCTCTAATAGAGATAAGATCCACATGTGTTGGCGGGCCTTATATCTATTAATAGTACAAATAGTAGTATAACTAGATGGTAAATGTAGTATTACCCGTCATGAAAATGTCTTTAGAGGCAAGGGGTCAAGGGTTGTTAATTTACGAAGTGATTTTCCTAGTGATGTGTAATTGTCTATCCCCCTCCTATAGAGATTTACATATTTAGGAAGGCCCCATGTCGTCTTCGGGTCATACGCGGCCTCTAAGCATAACATGCATGCGTAGGAGAGAATTTCAATCCGGAGATTCGAATAGTCCTTCCTCAATTTAAAGTATAAAAAAACTTGATATAAACATCCTCATAAGATCTCCTATTTCTCTCTTTAGAAATCTGCACACCTAATTTGATTGTATGCTAGGGTTGTTTTTCCCTGCTTTTGCAAGGTTTTGGTCTTTCCTTTAGTCAGTTCTAGGCCCTTACATTCTTCGTGCGCAACTAATCCTTACATTTATCGTGCTTTTAACTCTATGTGATGTGAGTTTAGGTAGATAATATAAAAGAATTCAAGTAAATTTGGACGGCAATAAAGGAATGTAAAAGAGACTTTGCCATCACAGACAAGACAACATAATAAGTTTCACCGATATTGTCGACGTTTGGATTAATTAATTTATATAAAATGCATCTAAGACCGGGTTCTAACATATACAATTAAACAGACTTCGTTCCAACCAAAGAAGTGATGTGAGAATTCACTTTTGGCCTTCTCTGTTTGGCCTCACATCTTTGCCAACATCTCCCACCTACACAAAGTTTATAAATCCCTCTTACCACCAAACAATGAACCTCTCTCCCTCACACAGACACAGACACGGACACAAACACACAAACTCTCTCTCTCTCTCTCTCTCTCTCTCAAACGCCAGCCAAAATGGTAACAAACAATATATGCTTGGTACAGATTAGTACGTGCTTGATATGGTATGGTAGTTTAGTTAACTGATCAGTTGATTTTTTTTTTTTTCAGGGAACATGGAGCAAAGAGAAAGGGGTGCTGGTGAGCGTGTACGTAGAGAAGCCGAAGAGGCACCACCACCACAACCACCATCATATTCATCACGCCGTCAAACGAGAGATAATTCATTACAGGCAGGGTGCCGGTGGAAAAGGGTACATAATTAGCAGGAGAGCAGAGCTGCTTCAGTACTCCCAATACCTTCGTCAATCTGCTCGATCAGCACCGCCATCCACACCCTCGTCAAGGCCAAACATCACCAGTAGTCAACAGCCTCATACCCACCAGGTACCTTAAATTCCTTTTGTATGAGTGCTAGTGTGTTAATACAACTGTCAACTGCGTTAACTAATACAAAGTTTTAGGAAGGAATTTCGCATTAGGAACAACAAATTAACATCATAATATCACCCTTGGACTTTGAGCCGTTGTATTGCCGGACACTCTTCATCGTCCGACGAGTCAAACATCAACGCTTATTATATATTCTTGCTTGGTTCATGCTCCCATTTTCTTTCCCCTACACCCCTTTTTTAAGCTTTAAATTGAATAAATCAAAGGAGAAGTGATGAAAATTATTAGAAGTGTGCAAACATAGAAAACGAATTGTGGAAATTATTTCCATATTTCTTTCTGCCACTCTCTCTCCTTTTCCTCCTCCATGAGTTTTAGAAAATAAAAATCCATTTGTAGAAACTTGGTGTCACGTGTCAATTGGAAGAAGCCATGGCAAGCAATTAAAAATGTAATATTAGATTGGCTAATAAAGTTGTTGATAGGTAGTGGGTGTGCGCAGAAAGCCGAACAAGAGTTCAAGTTCAAAAGCTCCAACCTGCTTTGGCAACTGGAAATTACCGAACGTTTTTGGAATTTTCCAAGCTAAGAAAGGGAGGAAGACAAGGAAGATGCCTTGGGGTAACAGTAGAACCACCACCAGTAAAATAAAAGCTGCTGTAAAAAGCCTAAAGGTAACTGAAATTTTACTTTGCAGTCTTCATTAATTCATTTATTTCTCTCGTAGTTTTTTGTTAATTGGTTTAAAGCAAAAAGTAGGGTAAAGCATAAAATCGAGCGCAATAGCATTTTAGGATTTATATAACGAATCTCATTTAGTGGGATAAAGATTTATTGTTGTTGTTGGTTTAAAGTAAAATGTAAAAAACTGCAATCCTTGCAGGTGCAAAAGCAGCGGAGCCTTTTTTCCAAAGTTTTCTCAGCACCAACAAAGCGATAGTGAAACACTAGCAACCCATGTCATTTTTTACAGATACCAGTTTGTGATATTTATTGCTGAAGAAATAATTTTCGTCATGACGACGGATGCAAATTTCAATTCATTTGAAAACAATCTAACTAGTGATGCTTAGCTTAAAAGAAATTGAATTTGAGTTGGACATTTGATGTACAAAGCACCTGGTTTCGTTAGGGGTAATCCATCACCGAGAGCTACATATTGCTCGCATCTACATTGCTAAAAACTGGGAAGCAGGCACATATTATAATCATGTGAAAATGATGTTTGAGAATTACGTCTATAGCATATTTCAGCTAATGATACAACAACCTCTGAATTCCATGCTGCAAAATTGGCTGTTCAAAAGCTGCTGCTCATGTCTTGGGTTTAGAACGTTTCTCGTGTATAGCCAAGCCAACACAGAAAGTGTGGTGCTTAAAAATTAAAAGCCATTGCCTATCGGGATGATCTCTGCTGTCGAGTATACTCCCACAGAGCAATGGCACCGCTGACATGAACATTTAGAGATCTAACAACTCCCAGCTGTGGAATCTCAATGCAAGTATCCAGAATACGGATGATATCCACCGGTATACCTTCCTTTTCACGCCCAAGGACCAGTACCTATTCCATGGGTTGGATGAAAAATGAGTGAAGCTACAATGTCAGCAGCACTTTCCCAAATCCAATCACCATTGCCAAATTGAAAATTAAAGACTGGATTCACAGAGTAACGCACCGTCGTTTTAGGAAAGCTATAAGAACACAAAATATGGTCATGCAAAACCTAATTGGGAATAAATACAGGGATTTAAAAATTTGCTCGAGGGCAGTTACTAACTACATTCTCTTAAAATGAGGTTTTGGCGTTGTTATTATTAATATTGTTGATACTTGGACCTTATAGCCCTCAGCATGTTGTCGATAAACATATATTCTTCGGAAGTCTTCTATATATATCATATAAACATATATGAATGATAATTGGATAATTCTTAAAAATAAAAAAAATAGAAGTTTCGATCATTGGACCACATCTCAAGATTGGTCAACGACAATGCTTACTAAAAAAATAAACCAATGTTCCAAAGAAATCAACAGTTTATCGTTCACCAGAAAACGTATGTTCTCTTCCCAAAGTCCAAATTTTGGTACGGCCCAAAACTCCCAAATTCACATACTCACTCACTCACGGAGGAACACTGAATAAACATAACTCATATATCTCCAGATCTCTCCCACTTCCTGGCAGTCACAACAGACTCACAATGAATCGCGCTTTGGTCATCTTTTTCACCACTCTAAGTACCAAAGTCAACCATTTAGTTTAGGAATGTAATCCTATAATTGATTCCTTGTATAATTGGGATTCTTATTTCCTATTATGTGGGATATTGTACAACTATATATTTACCTCTTAAAGAGAAGAATAAACATACAATTAAAATCCTAAACACTTTTATCTTGGTATTGATAACTAAAGAGAAATCATGATTTCCAAGAAGATTGAGAATAAAAAAAAATGAAGAACTGAGTAAAATGAAGGCAAGAAAGAGAGAAGCTTGTAGAGCATGATGAATATTTCAGTGTAATGATTGATACAAATACAAGCGGTTGAGCTACTATTTATAGCTAAAAACCAGCTGTCAAACTTAGTAACTAAGCTAACTAAAAGCCTACATGTACAATCTAACAAAGTAACGGAAAATATTACATTATGTTAATACTCCCCCTTAATCTCAGCTGGGATATCCCAGTCTGAGATTGGAACAATGCTGAACAAATAAAGGACTGTGTAATCCCTTTGTTAGTATATCAGCAATCTGAGCCTCTGTTGGAATATACTGGACTTTCAAATCTCCTTTTTGCACTCTCTCCCTAAGAAAATGAAAATCAGTATCTAAGTGTTTAATCTTGGTATGAAATACAAGATTAGAACACAAAGCCAGTGTGGAAAGACTATCACAATGCAGCAATGGTGCAGAAGGAAGAAACAAATGAAGATCTTTCAAAACCAATCTTATCCAGGCAATATCAGCCGCTGCATTGGCTAAGGCTTTATATTCAACCTCGGTTGAACTTTGAGAAACACTTCCTTGCTTCTTTGATTGCCAGGAAATAGGATTAGGCCCCAGAAATATGACATATCCAGTTGTGGATCTCCTTGTATTTATATCAGCCGCCTAGTCAACATCACTGTATGCAAAGAGTTCCAAAACCTTAGCACTAGAATATGTAATTCCACAAGTTAATGTACTTTTTAAGTACCTTAGAATCCTCTTCACCAGACAAAAATGAGCTTCAGTAGGAGTAGTCATAAACTGACATGCATAATTGATAACATATGCAATATCTGGCCTTGTAAAGGTTAGATATTGCAATGCACCCACTAAACTCCTATACATAGTAGGATCAACCAATGGTTCTCCCTCATCTTTCAATAACTGAGTATGTGGTTTACTAGGAGTGGAATAAGGTCAACAATTCACCATACCTGCCTGGTTAAGAAGATTAGTCACATATTTGGACCGATTAAGAAAAATAGCTCCATTGTCTCTGTAAGTGACTTGAAGTCCAAGAAAATAAGTCTGTTTCCCTATGTCTTTCATGTCAAACACGTGTGCCAAGTCATCTATTACTTCATGTACTAACTTGGAACAAGAATCGGTAATTATGATATCATCGACATAGAGTAATAAGATCACTACATCACCGCCATTGACTTTCACAAATGAACTTGGATCTGAGTGAAAGGTTTGAAACTCCAAAGTTGGAAGATAGCTAGTGAATTTTGCATTCTAGGCTCATGGAGCCTGTTTCAATCCATACAGAGATTTAAGAAACTTACACACATGATGAGGGTATTTAGAGTCTTGAAAGCCTGGAGGTTGTTTCATAAAGACCTCTTCTTGTAACTCTCCATGGAAAAATACATTTTTTTACATCCAACTACCTTAATTCCCATTTGTACATTATTGTAAGTGACAGAACAAGTTTAACAGTTGTATGTCTAATTGGACCGAATGTTTCTTCATAGTCTTTGTTCTTGATTGTACCTTTGTGCAACTAGTCTAGCTTTGTATCTAGACACTTTTCCTTCTTGATCTTTCTTGATCTCATACACCCATTTGCTCCCTATGACATTTCGATTTGCTGGAGGAGGTACCAACTCCTAAGTACCTTGTTTCTGAAGTGCATTAAACTCCTCTATCATAGCATTTCTCCATGATTCAGACATGACAACTTGTTTATAATGTGAAGGCTCAGAGGGCTCATGAATATCAAGCACAACAGTAAAACCACTAAAAACTACATCATCATTATATGGTATGAGATTTACTTCTGTACTAGATAGAGGAACATGATAAGCTGCATAATCCCTTCTTTGAATTGTGCCACTTTTCAACCTTGTGATCATATTATGCTCAGAAGAAACAATTGGTGCAATACTTGGAGTTACAAAACTAGACATATCATGAGCAACATCTAAATGAATTGGAACACCACAAGATATATTAGAAGTACGAGATAACTCATCAGAGGAAAGAGGTACCTAAGTCTGGGAACTAGCATGGACATGCAACATATGAAAGGAAGAAGAATTTAATAGTGGAGTAGTAGCTTGAGTAGTAGCTTGTGATGTTACCTTCTCTTGATTTACATGCATACTTGAACTTTGAGATGGCAAGGATGACACTTCGATGCTCTGACTATTCACATTATTTTCTTGTAGCTGTTCCGTAGACATAGTTGAAGCTCTAGGTAAAATAATAGGCACTATTGTAGATACCAATCTCTGAGAAGGTAGATTAACCAAAAAAGAACTAGTGGTTGTCTCAGAAGATGTTGTAAAAGGAAAAACACCTTCATCATGTACTACATGTCTAGACAACAATAATATTTTTGTAGTTCTATTATAACATAGAACCCCTTTATAACCTACTAAATACCCCAAAAATACACATTGATCACTCCTGGGCTGCAACTTATTAGCACTATAATGTCTCAAGTAAGGGTAAATAGCAGTACCAAAGACCTTAAGGTTTGTTAAAGATGGAGATTGTCTAAACAACTTGGCATAAGGGGATGACATCCTTAAATTTTGACATGGCATTATATTGATAAGAAAGATAACATGATTACAAGCATGAAACCAAAATTGTTGAGGTAAAGAAGCAGCAGTAAGGAGAGTCATAACAGTCTTAACAACATGCCTATTCTTCCCCTCTGCTAACCCATTTTGCTGGGGTGTATATGGACATGATACAAGGTGTAATATGCCACGTGAATCCAGAAATTTCTTAAACAAACCACTCATATATTCTCCTCCCTCATCTGATTGTAAAAACTTAATTGTTGTCTTAAATTGATTCACAACAAGAGCATGAAATTTAAGAAACACTGCATACACATTTGATTTATTCACAAGAGGGAAAATTCAAGTAAACCTTGTGTATTCATCAACAAAGATTACATAGTATTTGTAACCTTCAATAGAAATAGTGGGTGAAGGTCCTCATACATCCAGGGGCGGATCTATTAAAGGACCAGGATGGTCCTGGGACCACCCGAAAACTTAAATAAATAGCTGTGAGGATCTTCAAGGACCACCCAAGTTTGGGCAGTGGTGGAGAAGAACAGCAGCCATGGCGGAGGAACCTCTTGTTCCAACGAAGAAGACGATGTAAAGCAACCTTTTGTCTTTGTTTGTAATCAATCTCCAATAAGGCTGCTCCACTTGGCGCACTCATTAATAAGAAATTCATGAAATAGGACGTGGTTTCGATGTTGACAAAAGTAAGATAATATCAGAAGGTGTGGTGCCTTCAAATGTAAGACCTTTTTGACTTCTTTTGCAATTGGTGGCCAATGAGGCTGCCCTACCTGTCCCATAAATTAAAATAATAAACCAAATTTCTAATATAAGTATAACTTTTTTAGATTGATACCATGCCCACCTCTTTGTTTTATCTTTTTGCTCATCATATATTTACACTCACCATTAAAAAAAAATAAAAAGAACATTTTACTATGATAGAGCACCAGCACTCACCATCTTTTATAGAATAGTCAGATTCTTTCAATTAAATTCACTTTACCAAAATCAAGTCATTAAAAAATTAAAAAAAAACCTTCAC